ATGAGGGCAGGGATTTGATATTTTTAAACTACCATTCTGTCCCCATGTAGGACAGTTCCTGGCAGATAGTAGAGACTTCATATTATGATCAGTGAATAAAGATCTAATTGGTAGAATTTTTAGTTTGGATCTCCTTGGTATCTGTTTTATAAGCCAGACTTCCCTTCTCCCAAACCTCAGTATTTGTCATTTAAACAAATACCACTTGGAAAAGCAGCAGTCTTATCTCAAGCCTGTTGGATAAATTATATGCACCTGAGAGACCAGCCTTGAATTTTCCAGTTACCTCATCTAGGGAACTGCTTGCCATGAAGAAGCCTGTTTATTATATCATCTTTCCCCATGTGCCTTGTAATGAATCCGATTTCAGAATTGAGAACAAAAAGCTTACCATTTATTTCAGTTGGAGGTGGTTTCAGTGATTGGACAACTTTATGTAGATGAAGTAACATTGCAGTAGAAAATTTCCATAAGACGTCTAGGTTCTGGCTAATGTGTTAGCCTTTAAGCAATATTAATGGTAACAATTCTGTTACAAATACTTCAAGTTTGTGTGTGGGTGTTGGGGATCGGGGCACTGTCTCATGCATGCACTACAGTGGAGTCCAAACCCAATTTAACTGAGCTGTCTTGCCTGCTGAAAGACCTGGCAGAGTCAGTGATCAACAGAGCCCAAGACTCCAAGGTGAGGCAAAAAAAGAGTGGGAGGATTGAGTAGCTGTCCCCAGCGTAACAAAGTGCTTCAGAAATCACCTTTGAATTGTGAGCATTGAAGCATCAACAAGATGCAGCATTATGATGTAACTTATGCCTCTGGTGTTGCAGGTAAGAAAAAAGAGTCACAAATAAGAGCCTCTGTCCCCTGGGATGTTGCAACAGGATAAACACTTTGGCTGTCTTGGATAATAAACATACACATACCTGTCAGCCCACCCATATTCTAATGTCCAAAATGCAACAGTTGCTCAACTTTCCTCTAGAGAATGTATCCCTGTGTGGTAGGTTTGGCTCCATGAAGAGGTGGTTCAGTGAAGTGGATGCTCATTAGAAGCAGGATACAGTATAGGAAGAGGCATCTCACTCTGCCTTCTTAGCTCCTACATATTGATTTCCATTCTTTCATCACTTCCTCAGCTCTTCCCTGACTAGCTCCAATCCTGTTATAAGCCCTCCCAGCTGCACAGTCGTCTCTTGTAGCACTCACTCAGCATCATGGCTGCTTCACAGCCACGTGGGGTTATTTGATTAATGCCTGTCTCCCTTAGATGCTAAGCCTCAGGAGGACAGGATAGTTTTTCAGTTTTGCTTGCTTTTGTATTTCCAGTGCCCAGGAGTGCCTGGCATACAGAAAGTGTGCAATATACATTTCTGAATTACTGTATGAATAAGCAAAATAGTCTCATCCTTCCTTTCTTATGTAGTCTCTACCTATTAATACATTTGGATTTAGCTATGGAATCTGGGAAAAAAGAACTCAAGATAGTAGAAACATTGTGTAGCTGCCTGTCTGTCTCCCCTCTTCCCTCCCTGGGGGTTAGGCTGGGTTTTGCTTTTTTTTTCTTCTGCTTTTTCCATATCTATCTCCATCCCCTAACTACTGACTTCTGTGGTACTTTGTACTATAAATGACCTTGGTTTCATTTTGTTATGAAAACATTTTAGTCTAGGTCATATGTCTAGGAATTCTGAATTTCTAGTATAATTCTTTGTGCCTACGGATGTGCTTTTAAATTTTTCCTGCCCTTTTCCTAAGGCTAAATGCTATATAACAAACAGCAGTACAATATCCCACTTTGGAAACCTAATTCTTTCAAGGTATTATAGTCAATAGCGAAATTTCAGACAACCAGAGGCCACACTGAGCACTGGTGTCTCCATGCTTATCCTATTAGTGCAGGAGAATCTGGCTTCACCTTTGAGCCCTACTAAAAGCCATTTCATTGAGCAAAAGACAATCAGAGCAAAGAAATAACTCAGTGTTCATGAATTGCCATGCTAAATCACTCACAGGATTGCTAGAGAAATAAGTCACCTCCCATAAAGAGAATTTTTTTTTTTTTTTTTGAGACAGAGCCTCCCTCTGTGGCCCAGGCTGGAGTGCAGTGGTGTGATCTTAGCTCACTGCAACCTCCGCCTCCTGGGTTCAAGTGATTCTCCTGCCTCAGCCTCCCAAGATTACAGGTGCCCAACATCATGCCTGGCTAACTTTTGTATTTTTAGTAGAGATGGTTTTGCCATGTTGGCCAGGCTGGTCTCAAACTCCTGGCCTCAAGTGATCTGTCTGCCTCGGCCTCCCAAATGCTGGGATTACAGCTGTGAGCCACTGCAGTGGGCCTGCAATGGGAGTCACTGACGAGGTTGTTGAAGGGCCCAGGACTCTGCCCAGCTGTGGCATGCACCACACTCCTATTTGATCAGCATGGCTAAGGCAAAGTCAAACTACAAACCTTCCATGAAGTCAGTTCTGTCGAGTAAGAAATACCTTGTAAATCCGGTGCTCAGGAATGTTGCACTTTGGTGACAGACGTTCACCATCTGGCTCTCAGCTGCACCCGTGCTGCTGCTGGTTCTCATATTCCCAGACCTTGTCCCACAGCAATAACACTAGCACTTGTGTGGCCCTTCATGGTTTTCAAAGCATTTATTACCTCATATCATCCATGACCAAATCAGGTGCAACAGGCAGGTGTAAAAAGCAAATCTAGCAGCAGTAGTGTGACATGAAGGAAGGCTGGTTGACAGGCAGGACTCAGTGCAGCACTTCAGTTAGACCACTATGTTGTGGGATGCTGTCCATCGCTAGAAGGTACAATGACCCACCCTGTCATACCTAGACTTTAAGAAACTGATTTACACTAAAATGAATATGAGCCTGAGGTAAGATATATTAATACCAGAATGCCACTTCCGTTAATTCATGAGACATTTCCATCCCAGCACTAGGATTTAAGAATGCATGTTTGGTATATTCCATCCCACTAAGGCAGTGGTTCCATTTCTTTCTGCATCCACATCAAATCAATAGCATCTTACAGCTATGAGAACACCTACCCAAGACATAACTAGATTGCTTTGCTTGCGTACAATAACAAGGGAAATTAGAGAAGCTGTTTTAAAATACCAGGAGGCATCCACCTTGCAGTAGACTACTTGTCAATGCCTCAATATCTGAAGATTGTAGGTTACAATCCCTGCATCCCTCTCCAAACTAAAAGCCAGAATGCTTGAGCCTGAAAGAATTCCTCTCCCCTAAACAGTGCTTGACTGGAGACTGACAATGTTCGTCCAACACCTTCTAGTTGACATTACTGATCTATCTGGTCAAACATGTTATAGTATATATATTTGCTATGATATTCCCAGTGGAGCATGAGATACATGATAATCCACACATTTTACAAATGAAAGGATTGAGATGTCCAAGGAATCTGCAACTTGCCTAATTTCAATCAGCAAATGGCAGAGCCAGGTTTGTACATTCTTGCTGGCCTGGGAGCCACTGCTTCTCAAGTGACTCAATCTTTACCTTGGTGTGTCGATCTTATAGCAAAACTTCAAAAAGGCAATATTACTTCCTTTGCTTCTTATCAGAAACCTTGTTGCTGCTAAGTTCTGAAAACTGCCCGCCTTACAAATGAGGAAATCACAATGTAGAGAAAGTGAGGATTGATTGATTGACTGACTGATTTTGAGACGGAGTCTCACTCTGTCACCAGGCTGGAATGCAGTGGCGCGATCTCAGCTCACTGCAACCTCCGCCTCCCAGGTTCAAGCAATTCTCCTGCCTCATCCTCCCCAGTAGCTGGAACTACAGGCACGTGCCACCACGCCCAGCTAATTTTTGTATTTTTAGTAGAGACAGGGTTTCACCATGTTGGCCAGGATGGTCTTGATCTCTTGACCTCATGATCCGCCTGCCTCGGCCTCCCAAAGTGCTGGGATGACAGGCATGAGCCACTGCATTCGGCCAATTTTTTTCAACGTTACACACCCAGCTAAGATGAGCCTAGAACTAGAGTCAAGTCTCAGTTCTAGACTAGAATTCTTCCAACCAGGCCATTGTCTTTACCTTTGTAAGCCTTTAGATCTTGTCCTTATATAAAACCTCTGCTTAAACAGGCTCCGAATGCCTCAGTCCACACTGTGACTGGGTTAACACAGGCTCTTGTTTCCCAACTCAAGGGAGAGAAATGTTTCTATGTAAGAACTGTGATTCTTTCTAGCAGAAATTAGCAGAGTAAGTGTTTTTGGAATAATTGCTAATGAGAAGAAGGAAATCTGAATAGTTTCCTGAAGTATAAAATCTCAAGTGTTTATATTAGGGTACAAACTGCTATATAAACAACACAAAAATCTCAGTAGCTTAAAAAAAAGATTCCTTGATCATGTCATAGTCCAGTGTAGGTGAGCTGGTGCGAGGGGGGAAGTGCACATGGGGAAGCTATCCCGGGACTGAGGCTTTACTAGTCTAATAGAAGGGCTGATGGCCAAAAACTAGGCTAAGAACTGCTGAGCTAGTGGCTTCACCTTCCCTAGGGCCTTGTAATCTTCCATCAGTTCCTTTGCATCCCATAGGCTGAGGAGGGAAGAAACAGCATGAATGATCTTTTGAAAAGTGGTAGAGGGCAGCCTAGAAGTGACTTACATCACTTCTCTCCACAGTCCATTGATACGGACCCCGTCAAACTGCAGCCAAGATGGAAATACAGTCTCTCTGGGTGCCCAGGAGGAAAAGGAAATGGGTTTGATGAACACATAGCATTATTTCTGCTACACTGTCAAACACATTATTTATTAGATTGTATCAATACTACTGTTAGTATTATTAGTATTGGATTGTACCAATAGTATTACTAGTATTGGATTGGATTAGTATCGGACTGGATTAGTATTTATTAGATTATACCAAATACTAAATGAAACGATACTAGATGCTACAAATACTGTAAATTTGTAAAAATACAAATACTATTAAAAATGACACAAATATTATACAAATGCTACATATAATAGAAATGATATAACAGAAATACTAAATGATACAATGAACCAAATGATACTAAACGATATGGTGATAACCAATATTAAATGACTGAGTGATATACAACACTAAATGATACACTGACACTAAACAATACAATGATACAGATACTCAACATCTGTTCATGTACAAAGCATCTCCTTGACCTTCAGTCTGAGAGGAAGAACTGCCTGCACTGAGAGAACTGCAGAGATGGCTGGTTGCAGGGTGGCTGCAGGGATCAACTCTGCTCCACCCACAAAAAGATGGTTACAGGAGCAACATCACTGGCAAGAAGAGATGAAGAGATAGGATGGCGCCTGTGTTACAGAAGGTAGTAACAGTGGTTCTCCCATCATCAACTAAGAAGAGATAGGCAACACAGAACTTTTTGAGCTTTTTTTCTTTTTTTTTGAGACAGGGTCTCACTATATTACCCAGGCTGGGATACAGTGGTACAATCACAGCTCACTGCAGCCTCCACCTCCTGGGCTCAAGAAAACCTCCTGCCTCAGCCTCCCAAGTAGCTAGAACTACAGGTGTGCTCTACCACGCCTAGCTCATTTATTTATTCTTCATAGAGATGGGGTCTTACTGTGTTGCCCAGGCTGGTCTTGAACTACTGGCTTCAGGCCATCCTCGTGCCTCGGCCTCCCAAAGTGTTGGGAATACAGGCATGAGCCACCACACCTGGCCCGCTTTTTGAACTTTACTGAAGCTTATGTACAATTCTGCAAGAGTTGTTTTCCAAAATCATCCAACTCTAAAATATTTTCTTTTATCTAAAAAAATCAAATGGTTTCCATACCACTCATTAAATAAATTGACGTATTAACATAATTGGTTAACTAATTGGCTAACATAACCCCTTTTCAATTCTGGGGATAAGATTATGCCTCATTTTGAGGAAGGTGAAAGGCTTGATGGTGAAATTGAAATGCAAAGAACAGAGTTCAAGGCTCATGATTAGGTTGTTATTCCCAGATCCTAATACAAACCAGCAATGGTGCTATTCTGAGCCCTTATCCATGGGAGGTTAGATGCCAAAAAGGACTCTGAGGTCAGCCAAGGTGAGCTTGGTGACAGATTCTCCAGACCCTGATAGAACTTGTTTGGCCAAATCTTTCTTTTTTTCTTGGAGCTGTAAGATCTTTTCTTCTACTGTTCCCTCACAAACAAATCTAAAAAACAGAAACAAAAAAAAATAAGCAAACTATCAAAACCCAAAGCAGCACATCTAATAATACATTCAAACTTTCATTATGCTTCAGTTTTTAATGAGATTTCTTCCTTTAAGTCTTCTTAGGTCCAGTTAAGAACCCTGTTTGAGGGATCCAAACAACCTTGACTAGATATATGTCCCTTTGAAAGGATGTGGCTCACACTGACAGTCTAATACTTTGTGAAGCTGAGGGAATTGAAAAAACTCAGAATAAGCAAAAGATACCACAATCCAAAAAAGTATAGAGATCCACTTTCACCTGAAAAGTTCTACCTTGGTAAGTCCATAAGGCCTCAAAGGTTATCAAATTTCTGCTAGTTTAAGTAGAGTATCTACTTTTTAGTGAATTCACACTAAAAACAGGGTTTTCAAACCAAGTAAATGGCACTGTTGTCATTAATTCACTCATTCAAAAGTATTGATTAAGCACTCACTACACTATGCTAGGTGTGGGGATGGAGAGATGAATACGGTCTTTCTCTGGAGCAGGACACAAGCGAGACAAACATGAAAATAAACAACAATAATAATATGACCTGGTTAAGTGCTATAATGGAAGTATGTGCCGTGTGCAAAAGGAAGAAAAGGAAATGTGTCCAGAGTAGTCAGGGAAGGCTCCATTAAAGAGTTAACTCTTAATATGAGACTTGTATGATGGGCAAGGGTTTGCCAGAGAGAGCAGTGAGGAGAGCACCCCAGGGAATGGGAACATGTGCAAAACCATGGCTGAGTTTCAGAGCATGGTGTATTGGAGGAAGTTCACATTCACCATGTTGTCCAAAATGGCAAAGGCTCAAGAGGCTGGCAGGGCCAGATCACGGGTGGCGGTGTATGTCATGCTAAGACATTTTGATTTGATCCGATAGGAGGTGAGAGCTACCGAAGAATATGAGAAGTGGATGACACAATCAGACTGATTAGTTAGGAAGAGCCCTTTGGTGGTGATGCAGAGGACAGAATTCAGCGGAGTGGGAAGGGGTGACCTGGCAGTGGGCATGCGAAGGAAGAAATGGTTATCAGAAATATTTAGAAAATACAACTAAAGGACTTGGTGCATGGAAAAGCAAGAAAGGTGGGAGTCTAGTTTCTGGCTAGATATAATTAGATAAAGAGTGATACTATTCACAAAGACAGTGACTACAGAAGAATAGCAGATTTGAGGTAATAGGAAGAGAAAATCAATTTTGATTTGTAACATTTGAATACCTGAAACATGTTATTATACTTGCTACATAGTGGGTGCTCAAAAGGTATGTTTTATGGGCTGAATGCTCAAATGAACAATGAATAAAAGAAAGGATAGCAGATGAGTATGTGGACACTCGGATTCAGATATTTAGCAGGGACTGCGATAGTCAGATCTGAAGTTTAGGAGACCTTGGAACTAAAGATATGAATTTTGGACTTACTGGAGTGCATGGAATTTGTAAAGGAAAGAATGTACAGAATAAGCAGAGAAGAGAGCATAGGAAGACTGTCATAATCACTATATTTGGCAAAGTCTGGAAGTCATTGGTGCCCCTTAACAAGAGCAATTTCAGTGCAGCAACAGGAGTAAAAACCAGTTTGCAAAGGTTGAGGAATGAATGGGAAGTCATCAAGTAAAAATAGGCAGTGATTCCTAATTCTTCAGGAAACCTGGTCATGAAAAGGAAGGCGAAAAACAGGGCCATTGTGAGAGGGGATTGGCAGCATTAAGGCAGGTTTTGTTGTTTTTAAAGACAAGGGGGCCCAAAATAGAGGACATTTTGCAAAATAACTGGCTCATGCTCATCAAAATGTCAATGTCATAAAACACAAAGACTGGGGTACTGTTCCAGATCAAAGGAGACAAACTTATGACAACTGCATGCTACCAGAATCCGGGATTCTTTTTTGCTGTGAAGGACATCACTGGGATAAGTGAGATTGAAAATATCTGTAGATCAGATAATAGTGTTTTGTTAACTTTAATAACCTGCTTTTGATCATTTTGTTGGGGTTATGTAAGAGAATTCCCTTAATTTTAAGAAATGTACACTTAAGTACTTAGGGACAAAGGAGCATCAGGTCTACGACTTGTTCTCAAGTGGTCCAGAAAAATGTTCCTACCCACATGCACACATAATATGTGGGAACTTTTTGGTACTATTCTTGTACCTTTTCTGTGTGTCTGAAATTATGTCAAAATAAAAGTTAAAAAGAAAAATAAAAGAGAGGAGCGTCCTTTCATGGACTGCCCTCACCATATACACAAACTTGCTCTTCTTTTGCAGTGACCAACTTCAAGCTTACCCCAAACTGCTCGTTTTTTCCCTGACTGTGGTTTGCCTGAGGGTATGCCTCAGGAGCATCACTAGTAAAGTCATCACCAAATACTTTAAATTCTATTAAGACACTACCTAACAAAGAAAGACTTTCACAAAGTACAAGTTGAGAAGGGTCCTGGGTCCTGGGGACCATTACTTACCTGTGTATGACAACATCTTTCTGCTGCCCTACTCGGTAAATTCGGTCACAAGCTTGATCTTCAAGTGACGGATTCCTGTTAGAAGACAGGTAAAGCTCAAAGGAACCGACATACTAGATCAGAAGTGGCAAACTATGGACCAGGGGCCACATCCAGTCCATAGCTTGTTTTTGTAGCTGAAAATTATTGTTACATTTTTAAACGGATTTAAGAAAAGAAAGCAAAGCAAAACAAAACACACACATCATGTGACAGAGACCTATGTGGCCTGCAAAGCCTCAAAGAAAAAAAAATCTGTCGACCCCTGTCCTAGGTTATACTGGCCTAAGACAAGCTGGTGCCAGATACCTTCTTGGCTAGTTTCTAGTGAGAAACTAGGGTCAGAGTGTTCATAACAGCTCTTATCGCTATCATCAGTTGACAACTCTAAGTAACAGAGATGAAACTAAAACTCAGGTCTGGTCTCTAGGTAGCTAGATGTCCTTGGGCAAGTTCTTTAACCTCAGCCCTCCAGGCTTCAGACTGCTACTTGGAAACTGAAGGGCCAGCTAATGATCTTGAATAGCTACCTTTTTCAACTTTGATATTCTGTGATTCAATAAAGGAGACTTAATTTGTTTCCTTCTTTATTGATTCCCATTGTAACTCCAAATTAGTTTCTCAGCTTACAAAATGTAAGTTTCAGTGTCCACAAATAAAGCTTTGAGGAAAAAAAAAAAAAAAAAAAAAAAGCATGATTCCTAGTATGCGTTCCTCACTCACGTGTATAGAGGAGTCCCAAGTAAGAACTAAACCCATTCTCCCAGAAGATGATAACAGGTTGACCTATTTGTACCAATCTGGGCTGTCTGGAGAACTAGACCAATGACAATCCCCAGCAACAGTGCCTGGTGCAGCAATCCTTGATTGGCATAACCGGAAAACCAGAAACTAGTACTAATTATGAGATTTTCTGTTAGCAACACACTAACTCATTCATTTTGTGGCCGCAAAAGATGTGGTTGTACTCCTGGTATTAACAGTACATACATGAATCCAAGGGTGAGGTATTAAGTATATTTCTAACATAATTAGAAAATCCCTATTCCTTTTCTTTTTGGAGTAATGCTTCTTCCTCTTTTCGAAGGTTGAAATTTCCTTGGACCCCAACAAGTATGTCTGAAATACAGTATTCTGGACAAGAGGTAAAAATGAGCAACGTTAACTATTAGCCATGAGGAAAAGCTATGCTCCTAGTTTCCATGGAAACAGATGTTAGATTAACAATAACATGAATGAACTATTTTGAGTAGTCATTTGAAGGCTTGCTAGCTCAGGAATTCAGGGGAGTCAACTAGCCCTCTACCCTGCTTAGATCTGTATCTATAGACAGATACAAAGCGAGGCATCTCCACAATACGAACACAGCAATCAACATAGGAAGTCAGTTCCTGCTGCCCCTGTAGCCCACTGGCCTCCTTGCTGTGGTGTGACAACTCAGGACAAATCCGGAATCATTACCAGTGCATGTCCAAAAGAAAGAGATGGTTTCCTCCAGTCAGGTTTAGACCAACACCTCCGGCCAAGAGAGAGATCAGCATTACCTTCAAAAGGAAACACAACATTAACTTTAAACAGACTTGGTCTCATAACACATCTTGGTCTCAGGTTTAAGTCCACGATCAATACAGATAAGCACTGTGTTCCTATCAAATTTCCTTCTGCTGTTATAAATTTTTTTAAACATTATAATGCTATCTCCCATGTCTCACTTTTGAGAAAATTTCTCACATCACATTTTGTGTGTGTGTGAGTCGACCTCAAAAATTAACTGAGTGCCTGCCAAAATATATAAATACTGTAATTTAGAACCCTGGGGATGGTCAGCTCAATAAACTTTCAATTAACCAGATTATGTTTATTTCATCAGTCCCCATCCCTCCATTGTTACAATAATTCTCCTGCCTATCATTCTACTAATGCTTTCCAAATCCTTATTATCTATAATTAGATGCCTGTGTTCCTTCATTTCCTTCCATATTTCCTCATCCCAAAACCCCACCTATCCTTCAAAGCTTGCCTCCTCTACAAAGATTCCCCTCATCCTAACCAGCTCTGCTCTTAATCTCCTTTTAGTCCTCCTTT